CAGATTATATTGTTAGATTGGACTAGATTTTCAAGAAACAGTCATTTTAAAGAAGTATTTTTAAAAATATTTATTCATGAAATTTTGAAGAAATTCTGGAATAAATTCTTGAGATACAAAGTATTCTCGAGAAACATCCCAAGAGAGTTTTGGAAAGAACTTGGAATGTTTCTCGTTTGGGAGTTTTGGAAGAAAGGAGTTTTGACACGAACTCCAAGTCAAATTTAGGAAGAATTCCAAGCTAGTTGTTAGAAGCAGGGTGTCACTATATCAGCTTCAATCGACAAAATCGATGCGACGAAGATACTGATAGCTTTCTTTTTCTGTCAGTCAGCGTCTACAAACAAATTTTCAATCGTTTGTCTCTCTATCTCTTCATTCGTCTTTCTTTCAAGCTTCGGTAAAGCGGACGAGTGAAAGAGCGCTCGATTTTGTTGGTTTCGTCTTTCATGAAACACATCTACCGAGGTTTCATTACGTAGGACTAGTGTCCCCAACGTCGACCTAAGTGTCCCTAATATTGGGCCCATACATAAATTTCGAAGGAAAGAATTTTTGGCATTTTTTTCCTCAAAACTATCCACTGTTTCCGCACATCGAAGGTACATGATCGGCAAATCGGCGATCATCTTTTGCCAGTGATGGCGGGGGGAGATACCCCTCACCATCCCTCCCCAATAGGCGAGTTTGGTAAAAGAGATGATCAACCCGATTCGTGCCTTCATCAAAATTGACCTTTGCTCGCTTTCTACTCTCTATATACAATTTTCACACTGCCATACTCTAACGGGACTATGAACTCTATACGTTCCTCTCCTCATCTATCGTATAAGATGACCATTTTAAGTCTGATATTTGACGTTAAGTATCTAAAGTAATTGATATTGTGATATCTTATCACTCAATGAAAAACGCTATGATGAAACATGATTTCGATAAAAGCATAGTTAATTGGATTAACAATTGCTTAGCAAAAGAGAAATGTCAGCAAACCTTGGAAGCTCATCCATAACAATGAGAACTGTAAAAGGTTGTCCTCAAGGAGGTATGCTTTCACCTCTACTGTGGCCTTTAATAGTTGATGACCTTCTCAAAAACTTATAAGCACAGGGCTTCGAGATGATTGACTTCGCAGATGATATGTCATTTCAAGTAGAATGCAAATTGCTTTAAATTATGTTTCATTTTGGTGCACTAGGGAGGGATTGATTATTAATCCATCTAAAACAATTATTGTACCATTCACACGAAGAAAAAAAAATGTTCATAAATAATATTAAACTGGAAGAAATTATTTTAGAACTTTCTAACACAGTCAAGCATCTGGGAGTTACTCTTGACAGCAAACTAAATTGGAATTCACATCTAGAGCAACTCATCGGTAAGGCAACAAATGCTCTTTGGATAAGTAAAACAACTTTTGGTAGGAAATGGAGACTAAAACCTAAAATGATCCACTGGATTTATTTGACGAACGTTTGACCCAGAATAATCTATGCATCATTGGTTTGGTGGCCTGAAACCAATCAAAAATCAGCTCCGAAGAAGCTGGGGAGGCTACAAAGACTAGCTACTCTCTCAATAACTGGTGCAATGAGTAGCACACCAAGTATGGCACTAGATGCTCTGCTTTATCTGCTCCCGTTGCAATTAGAAGCCGAAAGGAGTGCATTAAGGATCCGACGATCACAGCACTTCCTTGAAGGTGATCTTAGAGCACATATGAGCATCCTAAAAATGTTCAATTTTGATTCTCTTGTCAAACAAAATGAAGAATGGATAAAGAAAAACCAACACTTCGATCGTCTTTACAATGTCGCAGATCCGAATCGCGATTTGTGGGAAAATGGGGGACCAAACATTCGTCCAGGATCAATTGTTTTTTATACAGACGGCTCTAGATTGGATAATCGTGTAGGAGCAGGGGTAACAGGTTCAAGAAAAATATCTCAATATCTATGCGCTACGGGCCTACCGTGTTCCAAGCAGAAGTCTAATTCAAAAATTAATGTTCTAAAATTTGCTTGAGTAGAAATTATAGACAATCGAATATCTGCATTATGTCTGATAGCCAAGCAGCACTAAATGCTTTGGAATGTGCAATGTCACTCCAAAAATTGGCCTGCCAAAACCAAGTGAACCTATTTTGGGTTCCTGGTCACTGCGAAATCCAAGGGAATGAGAAAGCCGACACACTAGCTAGGCTTGGATCATCTCAACAGTTTATAGGACCAGAACCATTCTGTGAAATTTCTGCTTTCTCTCTTAGAATGGAAATCAAGAAATGGAAAAGAATGAAAGTGGAGACCAATTGGGACAACACTCTCATTGCTAGGCAGTCGAAACGGTTTATTAATCCGAGCATTTCAATGACTAGCAAAATTCTTCAACTATCAAAGAAAGATCTCAGTATGTACACTGGTTTAATAACAGGACACCGTCCATGTAAATATCACTTGAAGCTAATAGGAAAACTGCAAGAGGACATGTCCGGAGTGATTTGAGATTTGGGCGTAATTGCTTTTGAAAACAAACACGTCAATTACTGATTTCTCTTGAATAAAAGCTCAATCTCACAAACAAACTATACCAAATGATAGAAGAATCATTCCTCTACCTCATAGTGTTATTACTTTTCGAGATTGAGCTTTTATTCGCGAGAAATCGGTGATTGACGTGTTTGTTTACAAATGCAATTACGCCCAAATCTCAAATCACTCCGGATGTGTCGATTATGTGGCATAGAAAAAGAGCACTCTGAGCACCTGCTATGCTCTTGTACAGCAATCTTCAATAAGAGGCGTATTTTTCTGGATAAGGGGCTGACAGAACCCTTTGATATTTGGAATTCAGTTCCCAGCCAAGTAGTGCAATTTATTCGAAATGTAATACCTGACTGGGAAAATGCTTTCGGTCAGTCTATGTCGGTCGCTTCACAAAATGGTGATACGACATGTTGATAAAGCAATATTAAATAGGGGAATATATTACAGTAGATCTAAGTACTGGTCGCAGTGATCAAAATACCCAACACGGAGAGAAAAAAGAAGATCTCCAACTATCCATGTGAATTGTTCAGATGACGCATTGTTTTAAGAAAAATTGAAGATCAGGAAATTTTTAATCGATGCGCCCAATCTTTAGATCCATGCCACCTACATGACGGAAAATGAAAACAAATATTTAATGTTTTTCTCACGTATAACAACATGAAGATTACACGTAACATGTTTAATATATCTTCCATGTGCATATGTACCTACAAAAAAGTAACGAAAATGGGACATAACGCATATTAAACAAAATTGACAGAGCAGGTGACAGTGTCGGTGAAAGGGATTGAAAACCATAATGAGGCTTCGTTTCAACTCGAGAATCGATGTTACTTTCATTGAAAGGAGTGAGCAAAGCAACGACGAGAAAATCCACAACCAGCCTTTCGATCTAAGCGTGCTTCTTTTTCATTTTCGTTTCGTGCTGATAGTCTAGCTAGGCGTTATTGAAATGATGCGTTAAACACGTTGTATGCAAGAAACACAACTCGAATTCATTTTAGAGCTTCGAAAATGTAGAGCCCCGGTTGGAAGAGCGTCAGGTGAATTAAGGAGAGTTCAGAGTGGAATTCTTTGGTTGTTCTGAGGAAAATTCTATGATGATTGTGCAAAGAATTCCTGGTCCATTTCAAATGAATATTCCAACTAATGATACTCCAAGGATATTCTAAAGGTATTGAATTCTGAGGATACTTCCAACATAATTCAAGGATAAATTCCAAAACAATTCAAAAACCAATTTCAAGTGTATTCCGAAGATAGTTCCAAGGGAATTCTGAGAAGATTTATGAAGGAACAATTTAAATGAAATTCTGACAAGATATTCAATGGCGTTCCGAGTATAATTCAAACGGCATTTCGAAAAGAATGTAAATAATTCTAAGCATACTCTTAAGACTTTTCTGCGGTGAATTTCATGACAATTCTATGGAGAATTCAGATGAATTTAAAAAAAAATCGACAGTAATCTTAGGGCGAATTTAATTATTTTTGTTAAGAGTGATCTGTTTAGAATTTCTGACTGTTATGAAGATAATTTCGAGGGAATCCCGACAGAAAGTTTTCAAATTTATATTAGATGTATTCTAAATAGAACTATGTGAAAGGAAATTAAGTTAAAGCAAATTCATGAGAACATTTCAAAATGATCCTGTAAAGAGATCTATGCGAATTTTCAAGATAGTTAAAACATAGGCAAATTTTGCTGTACACTAAATTTTATTTTCTCGCAATTTTATCCTCATTTAGGATAAGCACGGAAATCTCGTTTCCACCAAATTTTTATTTAATTTTTTTTTCTGAATTTTTGAACAAGTTGCACTAAATTTGACTGCAATTTATGCAACGAAAATCGCGTAAAAACAGAATTTAGTGTATTTGTAATGGCATACATTACATAGTAATTCAATCGGCTAAACTTCATTTGGTTTAAGCTTAATTTAAATGCTTTAAATGTGTATCGCACAGCCGGGATAATTTGCAAAATTCCAGGTAAAAACCGGGAAATTGTTAATTGGAGTTGGTCATTATTCAAATTTCAAATTTCAAATAATTAAGCAGTAAAATGGTAAAGATTTGCAAATTCCTCAAATGATAACAGTGGAAAACAATAAAGTATAGAGCAGGACTAAGTTCCAATTCGAACATCACAAGCTAATACTAGCTAAATCTAGAAAACTAGATGTGCGAGTGCTCATTGCAAGACAGCCTATATTACATGATATAAGCCATAGTCTGTACGGGGTATAAGATATAAAAAAATAATATCATGCCCTATGACAACACCGACCTATCGTACTCACTTGAAATCTAATAAATGATTTGACTAAAAGCTTGATCAATTTGGTAGTTCCTCTAATTCCTATATTTACTACATCACTACATACGAATCCATTCGTTTCAAAGATTTCAAAAACTGACCATCCCATCTTAATTTCCTCCCCGCAGATCTCCGGCAACATCGACATCTGGTGGATCGTGCACGACGGTGGCCTGCTGATGTTGCTGCCGTTCCTGCTCAAGCAGCACCGCTCCTGGAAGAACTGCAAGATGCGCATCTTCACCGTCGCCCAGATGGAGGACAACTCGATCCAGATCAAGAAGGACTTGAAGATGTTCCTGTACCATTTGCGAATCGAAGCTGAGGTCGAAGTCGTTGAAATGGTGAGTACACAGGGCTCGGGACATGGCAGATGCTGTCATAAATTTTTCACATGTCTCCTCCCCCATTCACACGAAAGCTTTCTATACGATACCCATATTCATAGGTGGGAATTGTTTTGACTAGGCCCACGTAATACCGAAAGGACTATGGCAGATAGGCCGTTATTATTGTCGAAAATACCAGTGAAAGGTTATGTGCGGACGCCGGTCAGTGGAAGAAAGCTGAGGATCATGAAGGCGGGAAGAGTGTCATAATTGAATTTTCAGGGCAGAAAAACACGAACAAAGTCCTCGGGCTTCAAAATCCTTTGGTATTCTATTTTTTTTTCCGCCGGCGCGCTTTCTATTTACTCTTGTTCTTCTCGTTTCTGTTCTCTATCTCATTGGACCTCGGACGGACGTCAGAATGGTTCGATGATGGAGTATGCCCTTGTTGGTCCTTCGTGTGGAGAAAGCAGATGGGATTCTGGAAAAAAAACCGAATACCGGGTGCCGTTTCACTTGATCCCTCTTGGACGCCCAGGACCGGACGCTGTGCAAACATTTTATTTTATACGATGTGTACTCGTGTTATTGTTTTATATTTCACCAGTAGGGTGGAAGATTTCCGCTTTTTGTTCACACTGACCGTATTTTCTGTCGGCTTTTGGGGCCGGCAGCACCGAGCACCAGAATTGCCCTTGGATGCCTCGGCCATCCGTGACCAAACACGCGTGAACCGGGCCAGATGGAACATATTTTCCAGCTTTCAATTAAATTGTTTATTGTTTGACAATCGATATATTTATGAATTCAGAACAGGTAAACATTTATGTAGGGCATTTTTAAGCCGTTTATTGTATTAGCCGTGCTGAAAACAAGGTTGCCCTTAAATATTCATTGTGAAGAGTAACGGTAGCAGATCCAACACGTTCATTGTGCCTCTTTTATGTGAATAATGTTCACAGAATTTAAATCATGAATGCAACGCGATGAAATATTTGTTCAGGAGACACTGCTAAAATTGATGAGAAATCATGCATTTTAGTCACGAATTTTGTGCGAATCAACTCTCTCCGCACATTTGAAGCCTATTCTTTTAAAAGCCTCCATAAGCACAGTCAGTGTCTCAATTATCAACTTAGTGTCCAGCTCGAAGTTTTAAAAAGCATCAACTCGCACTGATAAGCACTCTGAATTTTCTACTAAATCACTCGTGATGACACAGCCCAAAAAAAAACCTCACTCCGATAGCAGCTTTCCGGTTGGCCCGGCTACAATTGAACAAAGTGAACCATCATCATTTGTACGAAGGAAAATCTCCATTGTCATCCCAAATCACTACCGAGCCCCGAAAAATCTTTCCATTCATCTTCAAGTTCGTCCCGCAATTGTACAATGGCACTGCTCGCACGAACCGCACCCCCAACCACTTAAAGTGATAATCCTTTTTCTGTGCTCCCTGTCTTGATGTGTCCGCAACGTACCTATACCTAAGAACAAAACGAGTCCGTTTTCGTTTCATGAATAACATTTTTTCTGCTCAACTGCTGTTCATCAGCATCATCACCACGAAGCGACAACGTCGTCGTCGTGATGTTCGTTTGTAGGCTTACATTTTTTATTCTCAGATCCTTCTCGACACCTTCGGTGAATACGCAATACGGGGAAAGCTAGCAAACCCACAGACGGCATACTTTTTTTTTCTGTGCTCATCTAGATGATAATTTATTTCTTACCACTTCGCTTTTCCGCGAGCTTCTCTCGAACAATCAGTGACAGTGGTGTTGGCCTGGCGACGGTCTTAAAATAATTGTAGGAATGGTTCAGAGGACTGCGATTAACAATGGGCGTAGTAGTATATGTATAGAAATAGCTATGGAAAACTCTGTTAAGTCGCGAATGTGTTAAAAAAATATACAATTCAGAGTCTGCCACTTGATTTCCTCCTTATGTTGCTTTTTTAGCATAATTAATTTTAGTATTAATGATCATCTCTAAAGCGAACTATTAAAAATTATTACTACTGAAACTTTTCATCATATATACATCAGGTTTTTCAGTTTTTGGCCGTTTCTGGGCTTTACACTGGAGGCAAGAATTTCAACCAAGTAGCATATGAAGCACATGTTTTTAATTCCGTTATAATTTTCGTCTCTCTGTGCTACACTTCGTAAGCCAGTATACAAGTCGAAGCTAGTATACAAGTCGAACCCCAGATGATTCACTTGGTCGGTACGAGATAATAAAATCGCATTGGAGGTGAGCGGTTTCATACCAATTCGCAAATCGATTTATCTTTGTACATTATGATTTGGTTGAAAAATTGCAGAAACATTCTTTATGACCAAAAATGCCAATTTGTATCTACAGATCGCCATTTTGAATCCAGCCTTATTTTGAGAAGGGGCTATAGAAAAATGCTAAGCTTATGTTCAGAAAACTTTTACTCGAAAAATGTTTGTCCGATAGGTTTGGTAACGCGCCTCTTCCCTATTCATTCAAGGAATATCCACCCAGAGATATGGATAGCTACAATTGGTTTTGTTTGTATCGTATCATATTGTTTCGTTGTGTGATTACCATCTGCTAAATACACCAATCGATCCCCAACCACCACCACGGATGGATGGAAGAAGAGTCGGTCGTGTTTTATTTCAATCTATACTGGATTACAACGCAGTACAAATTGGGCCCTAACGTGCGCGATCAATAACATCTATTGAACTATAGGCCAAGATGAAGAAAATATGGGCAAAATTGTTGTTATTTAAAAAAAAAAATACATTTTCGGAAATACAGTCAACTCTCAACATTGAAGGAACCATCGAGTTATAGAATTATTGGCTTATAGAATATACTAATTTTTTTTCCGGTCTATAATCTCACGAATAATACAGAAATACTCCATTCACTGGAATATCTGGCCTTATTTACGCATATGAATTCAAAAAATGCTTCAAGGATCCATTTATGGATGTTCTGACTAGTTAATTTATAACATTAAGCAAAGCCCCGTAGATCAAATTACTGGTCACAGTGTTGTTATGTCCCGAATAGAGGGAAAAAAACAATAAACACAAAACACCGAATATAACTGCCATTTCTTGAAATTTAATTTGCCGAGATATCAAAGGTTCTGGTTATTTCTGAATGTGGAACTATCATCACTTTTGGGATGTCCGGGCTTAAATAAATTTTTATGAGGTTCGTTACACACTTAGATTATTTTCCATGAGTCAGTATTTTTTTACTGGATTTTTGAATTGCTGATAAAGTCGGTAAAAATTCATATGACCATTATCCGTAAGGAATCGATGAAATTGAAATTTTTTTATTTTCTATCTTTAAATGGGGTTATCAGAACTAACTCTGCCCAAGTTTGGATATAAATTTTATCATTATTGAATTTACTACCGATTTTTAAACTTTTACCGAACTGTTCCGCAATTCATAAACCCAGTAAAACCTTACTGGCTGGATTAGTGTGTACACAAAGTTATGTTTTTAAGATATTTGTTCTGACTATTTGGACGTTCCAGAATCTTGAAAATTTCTCCATGTCCGGAATATTTCAAAATAAAACTTCCTTAGTCTTGAAGATTTTCCTAAAGGCAGGATCTCAAAATTAATCAATTTATAAAATATTTCTAAATCCTGGATCTTGAATCTCTCATTTTGTAAAATATCTCGAAATAAATTCAATGTTTGAATCAGCCTGATACCCTTATCTTTATTTCCGTTCCGTGCTATTTTTACCAGACCTCGGTTCCTGTAACTATGGGAAAATGACTCAGGAACGGTATATTGCCTACAACGTGCAAGTCGTACCCAAGAACAAAAACCCTCCCAGGCTGAATCCAATTGCAAAATATTGGGCAATCGTACTAGGAAAACTCAGAAAAGCAAATTGACATTCAGCATCAAATAAAAAAAAATGATTGACCGCCCACGGTTGCTGCTCTGTTATTACCAGATGAGCTGCAATTACACAGAGAACCAACAGATGATGTTTGGGACTAACATTCATCCTCAATGTGTAAGAACTGGAGATCTAATATTTAGCAATACCAGCGCCGGCCGTGTCCGAATGCAGGTCAACTAGGGAATGGGGAAGGAATGTGTTGACGTCGTACTCGCTGTGAAGGAAACCGAGAAATCCTCTGCGCTTCCACGAGAAATCACTGGGATGTTGGATGTGGGGGGAAAGGTTGCACACGCACACGCAGGGATCGTTTTTGGTAGAGCGATTATAATACACAAACACACACACACACACGCGCGCGCGCACTCATCAAATTTCTATTTTTAGATCAGGACCCACACTGTGGTAAGTGATGCGATCGGTTTTAAAGAAGAATTTGTTTTCATTAAAATCTAGTGGGTATAGAATAAGGCAAAGTGAAAAATTGCAAGGAAGGGGACGGGCCTGGGATTGAACTCCCGACCTTCTGCTCAGTAAGCAGAAACGGTAACCACTGAGCTACCGAGCCTCGTACAAATTGACATTCAGCATCAAATAAGGTTGAAAAAAAAACGGTAACATAGGGGAAATGGCTCTAATGTTGGCCTATGGATCTAAGATTGGGCCCACCGCAAAAAATCTACTATTTATCAATTTTATCTAGATGAACGCGTCATTGGGACTGTACTTATGAATAGATTTGGACGCTATTGAAAATTAAGTCGATTGTTGAATTTATGTATGGGCCCAAATTAGGTGCATTTAGGCCGACATTACATCCATTTCCCCTATCTGATGAAAGGTGTGAAACGTAAAGCCCGACAGTTCGCATTTGAAAAATCGGAAGCCTGATCAAATAATTTTCCTGTATTTTGAAAGAGATTTTGATCATTTGTACAACAACATAATCACTGATCATTATTCATTATTAACCAGTGTGCACTTAATCACGATTGACCAATTTTTGAACGTTCCACCCTTTAGCCCCATTTAATGATAGAAAATAAAATTTGCCGATTTCAATGATTCCTTACGGATAACAGTCGTTTTAATATTT